AGAGAATGTTGGTGCCGCTATAGCTCACCTGGTTGAGCTGGCGTCCCATGTACACGGGCTACAATCCCCAACGTGGAGGTCATGAATCCGAATCCCGCTCATGGCCCTTTTCCACAGGTCCGTCCCCCGTTCTTCTCTCTGACTATCCAGTCTCTATCTTGACTGCATGACCAAATAAAGGCAAAAAAGACCAAAAAAATAAAAAAAATCAAATTTGAAGGGAGTCAAAGTTTTGCAATGGTGACGATAACTGAGCTTCATCTTGCTTCATGTTGTGCTGTCTCCTCTACCAGCATCAGAAAATCGAAAAACACAAGCAGCAGATTCTGATCAGCCACAGTTCTCCTGCTTTCATGTTCTATCTTTATATGTGCTGGAGCAGGGACATCTTTGAGGAGGTGGCTGCAGAGGTAGCTACATGTGTAGGCTCCCTAAACAAATCTTTACATTCAGTATTTTTGGGAGCACAGTTTCTTCCACTGGAGAATTCTGAGAACAAACTAACAAACTATCTTTGAAGCTAGTAAGGCAAAACGTGACCTCACAGTGGATTAAATTTTGTTCTCACAATGATGTCATGGTCTGCTGCTTCATCATATTTGAAAAAAGCGACAGGCAGTGTGTGTTTGTGTACAGACGTACTCACGCATTTCAGATTCAAAAACCATCACTTTTCCTTTTCTAAATTTAAATCCCACACGCTCCTTTCTCGCCACTTTAGTCCCATGCATGTACGGCTCTTAAAAGAAAAACAAAACCAGGCACGGTTGTCATCGTTCGACTGGAGCAGATTTGATCTTTTCAGCCCGTTGAATTCACTCGTATTGTAGCCTGTTGTGATGCATTTCAACAATTCTGTGTTTCAGCCTTTAATCTGACTGTGTGGGTTCCTCTGCTGCGGGTCCGCCGAGGACTCATCCTGTCATCCCTCCTCTACAGGTCGGTGGTTAGGCCTGTTACACCGTCTCATCGGCTCTATAGCGCTTCCACCAAGAACAGTTCACAGGCCGGATTACAAATGCCACCAGCCAAATGCCAATTATACGCAGCAGTACAGTGGGATATGCCCATTAAACATCCAGGCCATCCCAGGATCCAGAACATTTAGGACATAGAAAGCAGCTGAGCGCCCACTCTATCTCATCCTCTCTATTTCTGTCTGTCTTTCTCCTCGCACATCTTCTCCTTCTCAAACCTGTGGAATTTAAAACAGTTACCAAGCCTGCGGAGGTTCACAGGCTTGACTTTTAAAGGTTTCTCAGGCAGCATCAGTAGTGAATGTGCTGTCAGTAAATATCTGGGGTTTGTATGGTGTCGCTGCAGGGTTTTTCTGTTGCCATAGCTGTCCTGATTCAAAGTGTGAGGCATCATTACATTCTGACAAATTAACTGAGAGCTGAGGAGCCTCCTGAGTCTGTTCAGGCTTCTGGCATGTTGACATTTGCTGTTATCGTCTGAACCGTGGCGGCTCATTGTAATGGGAACACGCAAGGTAATCTGTTGGCTTCCGGCTGCTTTATTTGCATCTCTTCTACAAGTTGTACACAGCTTTTTTTTTCTCTTTTATTTATTTATTTTTTTCTAAATTAATTTTGCTTTTATTTGACAGTTGATAGTGAGGCAGGAAATACGGTTAGATGGTTCTGACGTCCAAGTCCTCGCCTGGAATCGATCCATTAACCATCATCGGATGATATTAAACAGACACATGGTCATAACTTCTGTTACGATGGGAGGAAATTACATGCTGGCAGGTTTTCAGTCGACCCACACTCCCTCCTGGGCCTCGGTGCCAATATTCAAGCATCATTAATGCACAGAGCTGCTGCTGAGAATTATCTTTCCGCTGCTTCCCCACAACACTCTGCTAACGCTCACCAAATGACTCATCTGTATTATAATTAAAAAGTTTGGTTTTTGGCTGTGTATTTAAACATCTGCAGCATCCCCACATCCCTCCGCTGATTTCTGACAAAACTACCTTCAAAACAGCAAGTCACGGTTTACAGTTTACGGCCGAAATTCATGCAGATTTTACATCAAAAGACGGACACAAGGTCAGACATGGTGCTCAGGTTTTAATCAGCCTCTGTGTTAAATGAGGTTACCATAAAACCAGAGCCAGGGAAAGAATAACTCCAGTGTTGGGCATTTGGCCTCAGTGTGAATTTTTATTTTCAGGTATTTTTTTTTTCTTCTCAAAACTGCTTTTATTAATTAAGCCTTTTATAAAACCACACAGAACTTGCAAAAACAATTACGTTGGTGGTTTTATTACTTCACTATCTAACGTGGACACTGGATTTACCCTTTTTTCACGTCTTTGTTTACTGTAGTTTTCCTTTTATGTGCTGGTGGACTGTTCTTGCTGCAACATTGATGAAGAGTTTCTTTTCTCTTTTTCATTGCACTTGCTTCATTGCAGTTTCCAGTTCTGCTCTTTGGTGTCTTTCACATGGGGCTCAGTGCAGATGCTACTTTGGTCACTGTTCATGAGCAGTCTGAAGATCTTTTGGCGTCGCTTGACTCTTTTCCTATCAGGATGCAAAATGAAAATCAGCACTAAACATTTTTGTAGAGTATGACTGAATGTTGGTTGTTTGCAGTGCACCTGTGTGGAAGGGTTCGTTTGTGTTTCTCCACTCATTTGTTTGGATTTTTACATTGGTCATAAAGTTCTCAGCCTCACCTGGAAACTGTATCCTACAAAGCCTTACATCAGTGTTGAAAAAACCTTAAATGTTTGAAGCAGTCAGATAGTTTTAAAAAAAAAAGAGGAAAGCCTGGAGCTACTGCAGCAAAAAACTTTGCTGTACAGTCATGACTCGATAATCCATCCATCCATTATCTATACACCGCTTAATCCTCACTAGAGTCGTGGGGGGCTGGAGTCTATCCCAGCTGACTTAGAGCGAAGGCAGGGGACACCCTGGTCACCAGTGCATCGCAGGGCCACACATAGAGACAGACAACCAAGCACACTCACATTCACACCTACGGACAATCTAGAATCACCAATTAACCTCAACATGTTTTTGGACTGTGTGGGAGGAAGCTGGAGAACCCGGAGAGAACCCACGCTGCACGGGGAGAACATGTAAACTCCACGCAGAAAGATCCCGGTGACCCTCCCAGGTCGCGAACCGGTGACCTTCTTGCTGCAACAGTGCTACCAGCTGCGCCACCTTGCAGCCCGTGACTCGACAATCCAATTTTTAGGAAAAACGAACGGAACCCATGAAAAATAGCCTTAACAGACCGACAGCCTTGGATTCTGACTCCAACATGACATTTTGTGTCACCAATAAGCATAACAGCGTATTATCTGACTTAAGAATCTGACAGATTGGCAACGTTCAGACTGCAGGACTTAATGCTCAATTCAGATTTTTTTGTGAAATCTGTTTTTCTTGCGAATTCGTTCACATTTCCAATTAAATGCAACTTGTATGTGATCTGCTGTATGAACTTCATACGACGTGCTCAGTGTATGTGGAAGTAAACACGGTTGGTGGCGGTAGCAGCGGCAGCGGTGGCGATGGTGGAAACAGAACTGGGACCGCCATCCTAAACTGGCACAGCAGCCAAGTTCTGCCTGTGTGTTCCGGCCACTTCCACCCCGTTGGAGCGCACCCCCCGGGTGGAGGTGCCCCCCGACTGCGCTGAATATTCTGATATTCATCATTAATTGGGCCTGAATACCCACAGACCAGAAAGTGCTATTTGGACCAGCCCTGCTAGTTATTATAACAACTATGAACAATAATTAATAACAATAAATTACTCTTCAAGCATTAAGCCCTCCTTGTATCTCGACCTCCGTCTTGACAATCCGACAACCTTGCTATCTGACGTAAAAGAAGATTTTACATTTAGTGTCGGATTATCGAGTCACGACTGTACTTGCAAAGAAATGAGGACAAACATTAGAGTTTTTGTGGACACTGATATAAGACTTTATAGTGGACAGTTCCGCTCCTCAAAACTTTACTCTTGTACGTATATATGTGTGTATTAATGTATTTGTGTGTGTGTAATTTTTTGTTGTTTTCGCCTTTTTGTTAATATGTATATACTGTATGCATACGTGCATGTGTATTAGTGTGTAATATATATTTTAATGTTTTTATCTGCTTACATAGATATACTCACCTCCCTCACATGTAAAACCTCCTGTACACTCATTTTAGCAGACTTCAACACAACTTAAACTTTCCAGCCATAATTCATGTGCTACTCACTCCACATTCATTAGCCAGTGAAATGACCACGTCACTTTGCTGCAGCATGAATGCATTCTGACTGTCAATCGAGAGGCTTCGAGGCTCCAACACCTCGGAATTATGTGCCTTCAGCTTTAGTCGTCAAAGGTGTATTCACAAGTTGTCATGGAAGTATATTTAAAAGAAAAAATATGACACTGTGTATACCAAACATTGGTGGTTGGAATATTCGTAAGTCTTGTTGTGAAAACTTTCTGACAATAACTGGGTATTCTATGCCTTAAAGTCAGTATGTGCCCTTTCGCTTTGACAAGTTGGATTTTGAACTGCTGCCCCGGCAAGAAGTAACTTTTAACGGCACTTTCCTGAGGGATGTTTTGGCATCAGACTTTGTGGAATATGTACAGGATTAAATAACAGAAAAATAAGCTTGCGGTATTTTGTCTTACCTTCATACACTGCTATGTGCTTTAGTTGTAAATGTCCTGTCCAGTGTTGTGTACAATTACATGTAAAACCACCTGTACACTCATTTTAGTGTTGCCTTTATATGCATTTATGTAGTTTTAAATCTCCTGTCACATGTTTTGAAATTAACAAGTTTTAAAAGAAGACAATTTGAAAAAAGGGATACAGAGATAAACAAAGCAAACCAAAAAAACCACAGCTACAGGATCGGTTCCTGATTGATAAAAATCTCAAAATGTGCTTCTCTTGTGTCCTTTTTTTCCCACCATGACTCACTGTAGACTTTGCATTTCTTTCTTTCCTCTGCAGTGAAGTACATGCGTGAGGCCACTCCGTACGTGAAGAAGGGCTCTCCGGTGTCAGAGATCGGCTGGGAGACGCCTCCTCCAGAGTCTCCTCGCCTCGGCAGCCCTCCCATCACCTCCTCCGACCCTCCCAGTTCTCCCACTCAGCCCTCGCTGTCTCTGACCGGCGACCGGAGGTGCATCCCGCTGAGGATGTGTTACGTAACCAGAGCCATGACCACACCTGACCCTGACAACAGGTAGCAGAGACACTCACACCTCAGATTCTCTGGAGGGTTTTGGTCTCTTTTTAATTACCATCATCTGTATGCTCCTCTTGTGCTGAGTTGCCTGTTTTTTTTTTTTTTTACAGACTAATGAGTAGTTCATTGATTAACCACTCACATAGTTCTGCCAGTTGCTTTACGTGTAATAGTTTTTAAAGATTTATATCTTTTGTAGGAATAAACTGATGTGCCACACAGTAGGTGGGAAAATGTGAAATTATCGATTTATTTTATGGGACTTAAGGAGAAAATGAAAAAAAAAACATAAAACGTTTCCAGATTTTAGAGTCAAACTGAAATATGACGTGCTTCTAGTTTGTTATGGAAACTGACAGTTCTTTGCAGTTTACTTTACTTACAGAAAAGGTGAGAATTTAAGAACAGTGGCGTCATGCAAAAGGTACATTAGATATAAGAAAAGCACAGTTAAGCCCAAAATTTTTCATTAACTTTTGATCTACAGTGATTTTTTTCTTTGACTAATAGTTTTTTCTGGCTGGAAATGGCACGAACAAGTGACAAAAGACTCATTTTTACTGCAAATGCCATGTCCAAATGTATTCACACTCATTAAAACAGTTGCTAACTGTTGTTTCTGCACCTTTCCAAATGGTCCTGCCAATTTCTACCATTTCTAGAGCCTTTTAATCTACTGTAAGCTGATAAACAGCTGATACAGAAGGTGTCTAGTTAGTTACTAGACAATTACAAGTCATTTGGTTAAAGCCAAAGAGCTTCATGAGAGAGAGCTGCACATTGTGGCTGGTTGATCTCTATGGACACCAACCAAGAAGGACTCTTCAAGACAGACAAAGAAAAGCTCAGCTGGACAAAGAAGAAAGCTTTCCATCATCACTTCTGTGGTCAGATGAGACAAACATAGAAGTCTTTTGACCCAAAGAAAGCAGAATCATTCAACCTTAAAAAGACAATCTTTTCCGTCAAGCATGCTGTTGGGACTGTGATGCTACGTTTTTCTCAGCCGATGGACCAGGCAGCCTTGTCAACAGCAAACAGCATCATGAGAAAAGAGGACGACATTAAGATTCTTGAGGAGAACATCAGACAGTCTGCAGAAAAACTTGGGGCAGCACTGAAGCTTCTAACGAGATAATGATCTCAAACATGCAGTGGAAATGGTGGAGAAATGGGCAAACATAAAGCCACGCCATCATTTTGAAGTGTCTTCATCAGAGTCCATCGAGAATCTGTGGAGGAAGCTGAAGACCAGTGTGATGAAAAGGAAGCCTTCAACCTCAAAGACCTGGAGATCATCACAAAGAGGAACAAAATCCCAGTGGAGACACGCAGAAAGACTGTTAGTAATTAGAAGAAGCATTCGATTGATTTGGTGGCAAATAAATAAAGAAAAGAAAAACCCACTATGGAAATACAATTTATCATCATCAGCATCTCTAGCACTTTGACTTATTGTCTTTTGTCACTTTTCAAGTCATTTCCTGCCAAAAGAAGCCTATTGATTAAACAAAAATAGCCCATAAATCAAAGTATGTCATGGTGATTTGTAATTTTGGGCTTAACTGTGTGTCATGTGAGGTCATCCAAACTGGCTGACAGGTTTTGCTTCGCTTTTGTCACTGGCAAATGTTCCAAAGTTCAACCCAAAGATGGCTTCATGAACTAAAGGTTAACTAGTTCTTGTGTGTTTCTTAACTCAACACTGTGACAGAGAGAACAGAGATGCCTGCAGCCCCCTAAAGGGATTATTTAAAGTGTTTCCTTAGACTTTTTTTTTAAAAACGTTTCTTAAAGAGCGACATTTGAAGTGGCGTTTTTATAATTCCCAGTCAGCAGGGGGTCGTCTTTTAGGAGGTGTCATCAAACTAATGGGTTGGTAATTCCACTGTGACCCAGTCAGACGTCACGAGGGCAGATTTACTCCTTTTTCTTCCACTACTTTGAAAACCACAGTTTGTCTGCTTTCTGTCCCAGTTGTCTCTTCCTCTGCGTCTCTGTTTCCAATTTCTCCTCCTGTCTGTTTTTCACTCTTTTGTATTTGTTGGTGTGTTTCGGCCTCTTCTGTCTGCTCGCTGTCCTCTCCCTTTCTTCTCTTTCATCGCCTCTCTTTGTGCTTCCGGCTTTGTCTGTTATCTGTCGCATGTCTGGATCGATTCTCCCTTCCATCTCCATTGTCTTCCCGTCATTGTCGCTCTCGATTTATTCCTTTTTTTCTGTCACTACGGTTCCCATTGTTCTGTCCCTCCATCTCTGCATATGTATGATTTTAGACGTCTGCGATGGTTGAAACTTGAAAACTTCAGCGGCAGCATCAAAGTCAAGACGTAGCAGCGACTTCAAGGCTCCTCCGTCTGTACAGAGTTCGACTGTTGGACGCTGAGAATGTAGAATATAATTACCAGCAAACTCTTGCACTCGAAATGAAATGTAGGAACATCATTAGGTGGTGATTCTTTGTTGGCTTAATGAACGTAAGATAATAACTTTAATCTACAGACTTTGATGATTGTTAAACTCAGATTTGCTTTCATTCTGCATTTTCTCACTTTCCCTGTGACATTCTGCATTAAGACAACGTAAGGCAGCTTCAAGTACATTTGTTTGTCTTCATTGTGGTTAACCTTCTGAACTCCAAGCAGTTTCTGGGCCTTTTTTTTGTTCCTGACATATTTTTCCTCACTTTTTACTCATGAATTTGAATTTCATATAAAGTCCTGCACCTCTATGGAAACATTAGCCAAAAGTAGAGAGGATCCAAACATGTCTTTTTGTCAGTTTAACAAAGCTGCAGTGCCACGAATCATTAAAAAAAAAAAAAAAGAAAGAAAAGAAAATAGAATTTTTTACAAGTGTCAGTTTTATTCGAGGCTTCTCCATTCTTGTTTGTGTCTGGTTCTTGTTTTCTGTCTCATTTTTGGCCATTTTTCATCTGTCCTTTTATCTCATTTTTGTCATTTTCTGTTTTATTTATGTTGTTTTGTGTCATTTTAGGTATTTTCTGTCTTGTTTTCTCGTTTTGGATATTTTGATCTACTTACATTGCATTATTACTGCTTATATTTGGATATTTAGCTATTTCCATGTTTCCAGCCTCTACAAACTTTTTCTTTCTACTCTGCACATCAGCTGTAGAAAGATGTTTCACCATGCTGAATGTATCTTCCATCAGTTTGCTCCTCCTTGTACTGTATTTGAGCCATGTTGTGTCTATTCTGTTGATCCAGTAGATTTCATTTCCCTCTTTGTCTCTTTAATTAGTTTTCATACTTGTCTCTTCTCTGTTTTCTGTGATCACAATCTGCATTTCAATTAAAAAGTCTCTGGATTTTTGTCAGGTGACTCTTGGTCACAGCTGAAAGAGTGCAGAGATGCTGTTTTTTCTTGTTTATTTTAGGTGAATTTATAAATAAGATATTGAATCTTTGGTAGAGTTTTCAGTTTATTCCACATGAGAGTTAACAGTCTGCAAATGTGTCCTCCTTGTACTGTATCTGAAAGTTTAATCCTGCCTTTCAGACTGTCAGTGAAACCTGCAGCGGCATCAGTCTGGTTGAAGCATTAAACCATTTAAGAGCACTACAGAGTTGAACATTCACTCTGTTGACCTTAACATCGACTTTATTGGTGAGCCAGTTATACAAGGAGTTGGGGTCGATATCTCATGTAGTGACACAGCCTGGTTTTACTTTGCAGATAACAGCGTTTCGTGGTTTGATAAACCCTGAGGGCAGATTCACAGATAAAGTCAAATTTACCTTGACCAGCATGTTTTTTATGAAGTTCTTTCCTCATCTTTGCCAGGATAAATCCCCCTCTGACTCACCAGTAAAAATTTCGTAAATGTTTAAATGGAAGTGAAATAGTCTCTGTTACACTGAGTCCATCAAACTGGAAAAACAAAAAAAGGGCCGACGTTAATACTGGAAACTTGGGTGTTTTCTCAGAGTTTCTAAGATAATAAGCTGGAGTTAAACATTGCAGGGCAAAACTAAAGCTTGTTTTTCTTATTTTGGGTTCAGGGATGAGATGGTTTAAGAGGCTTTATGTTAAGTGACAGGAAAATCTGCTGCAGTGTTGCATCCCTCTGAGGGTTTCCTCTTTATTTCAGCAGATGCTGTTTAAACTGTGTTTAAGCCTGACAGGAGATAAAGAAGAGTGAGATATGAATAAACGCGAGACACGTACAGTGATGAAAGGAGATCATAAAAGACGATGCGAAAGAAGGGAGGAAGGAGAGTAGAGGAAGAGGAGAAGAGATATAGGAGTGTTTTTTAAACTTCAGTATAAAGACAGACTTGATTGATTGATTGAATATTCATCATGCCGATGAAGTTTTTCTCACCTTAACACGAAGCCTTAAATGACAATGTTAACAGGTTTAATTAAAATATATATTTTATGGAAAGACTTGTGTGTGGGAGACTTGGATATCTACAGGATTTAGGTGTTTTCATGCTGGTGGCCAGCAGAATGCAGCTCCTTTATAGTAACAAAAAATAGTTCCAATTGTAAAGAAGTCTATGAAAAAAAGACTAAACTTCTGTCTTGATTTGAAATGAATTTAGGGTCTCAATTGTTAGTTTTAAATCTCCTTCAATATAACACAGTGTTAATGTAAGTAACCGTCCCGACAGTAAAATAGACGTTAAAGCAGGATGTGCTTCAGGGCGTGGCTACCTTGTGATTTACATGCATGACATCCATAGGGACTTGATGTCATTTTTCAGAACCAATTCTACGTGGAATCGATATACATTTGTAGTAAAAATGAAAATCTTGGGGTCAAAATTTAGAATAAAGCAACAAATGTTGATGAAATGTCATTTTTTTATGTTTTACATGTGTTCAGTGTTGTTGGTTAGTTGATAGGGGCCTCAAATCTGCATTCTTTCAGACGGCCAGCAGGGGGCGACTCCTCTGGCAGCAAAAATACTTCCAATTCTATAGAAGCCGATGAGAAAATGACCCTAATCTCACTTGATTTGCTGCCTCAGTAAATATTTTTCCATCGAGTTTATGGTTTCAGTCGCTAGTTTCCAGTCCTCTTCAATACAGTATGATGTGGATTTTGTAAGTCTTGGTGCCATTTAGAGAAAGAGACGTCAAAGCGTGGTCCTTATTATTGGACACTATCATGTGTCCAAACTTGAGGCCTCAAAATAGTTTTCCATTCGTCAAAAGATGACTTCACGCTCATCTTTTAGATACAATCTATGGCTTTGTAGTATGATATTTTACACTTAATTTTGTTTTTGGAAAAGGCAAAAAGCTTAAAATGACTTTTTGTACATCTTTCCTTCAATCATTAGTTTTATTTCACCAGGGTCAAGTTTAAATTGAGCTTAAGTTAATTAATGAGATGTCATTGCCAGAAAACGTATTCAATACAGATCACATTTTAATGCCAGGTGTAAAGAGGGCTTTTAGGTCAAGACAGCTTAGTTTCAGTCATACTGACCGCTTTCACAAATAGAACATTTCCCACAAGGCAAGAAGTAAAGAAGTTTCCCTCTGGTAAAGAAATAAGACTGTAACAGACTGACACCCTGAATATTCTGTATTCTGTAACATTTAATAGTTTAATTTAATCAGGCTTCTGTTTTTCTTTATTATACTGAAAACTTTGCCATTAGAATATTTCCTTACTGGTGCTGTTGTACATGCACACAGCATTAATCAATTAATATTTATAATTCAGTCACTGCATGAATCAAATCTGTATGCCGGAACAGACCTGCCTGGCTGGAACACATATTTTCTATATATAGTTATAATCCTGTGAGAACGTCTTCCCTTTGAGCAATGAGAGACTGAACTTCATTCAAATAGGAACAGGCTTATGTAATCCTTACAGTCACAGCGGTCATTTGGATGTCATCGCACTGGGTCTTCATGTTCCCCATGTGTGTTCCGCATGTTCCCCATGTATGTTTGTCATGTTCCCCGTGTTCCCCGTGTATGTTCATCATGTTCCCCATGTATGTTCCGCTTGTTCTCCATATATGTTCGTCACGTTCCTCATTTTCCCATGTGTGTTCCCCATTTAAGTTGTCATGTTCCCATGTATGTTCCCCATGTATGTTCGTCACATTCCCCATGTATGTTCCCCGTGTTTCTCATGTATGTTCCCCATGTCCCCCATGTATGTTCAGCAAGTTCCCCATGCATGTTCCCCATGTATGTTCCCCATGTTCCCTAATTATGTTCATCACATTCCCCATGTATGTTCCCCGTGTATGTTCGTCATGTTCCCCATGTATGTTTGTCATGTTCCTTTTGTATGTTCTCAGTAATATTCATGTTCCCCATGTATGTTCATCACATTCCCCATGTATGTTCCCCATGTATGTTCGGCATGGTCCCATAAATGTTCCCCGTGTATGTTCGTCATGTTCCCTATGTATGTTCTCAGTAATATTCATGTTTCCTATGTATGTTTGTTTTGTTCCCCATGTATGTTCCCAATAATATTCATGTTCCCCATGTTCACAATGTTCCTTATGTTCCCTATGTATGTTCCCTTGTTTCTCAGGTTCTTCGTGTTCACCATGTAAGTTCCTCATGTTCCCCATGTATCTTCCCCATGTTCTCCATCATGTACATACTATATATTTTATAGTCAGTCTACACTTTGGCCTGGAAATAGCAGATAATCTCTTGTGTAACTCCTGGCAGTGAAGTTGTTGCTAAAACAAACACTGTTCTTTAAGAACCTTCTTTTCTAAATGCACATCTGGAGCTGGGGTTCCTCCTATTCTCCCCCTCTGTTTTCCACGCATCTGTCCTTAATCAGCTCCCCTTTTACAGGCAGCAGGTCTATTTTTAACCCAGACTAACACCTGGATCTGCTGTAGCGGTTTGATAGAAGAATGAATTCATCACATCCACTGGGGCTTTTCCAGGCCTCCAGTGAGCGATAACAGAAAGCTGCAGAGGAAGCAGGTTTGCAGAGTTGAAACCACCCTGGATTTGGAGTAGATTTAGTTTTTTTATAAAAGCAGCAGCACCTGGACAGTAGACTGCTGGTAACAGAGATCCTAGATTGCTTTCAGAATACATTTTCAGTGACACCCCAGTTCATTCACCATACAAGAGCTGCTTGTTGACATAAATTCTTACATCTGTCTTTTCTTTCTGTCTTTTGTATCCAGTTTCAATTTCCTTGTGGCACGTATCAAATTAAAACCCATAACCCAACCTTTCTAACAATTCTAGTCGCGTGTCTGTGCGACAGAGGGTTAGTGATGAAAAACCATCTTGAATCTAAATCAAATTTAATCATAGTCACGATCTGCAGTCTGAAGTCGGTATTATTTTACAACGTGGGCCAGTCGCATGTCAAAGTAACCAGCAGACTGTGTTCTTTCTGATAATAATGTTGGTTTCTCTGTGTGCAAACAAAAGTAATTCTGTTTAGGAATTACAAGAAAATTCTGCATTGTCCCCTGCACAGCTTGTGTGACCAACTAACACAAAAAAATGGATTTCGTGTCATTGCAATGGTTTAAAAGTTGAGTCGCTGTGCACAAGAAGGCAGCGGTGATCCCACAGTGCAAATTTGCCATTGGTGGCTAATATTTACCTGGTTTGCCAACTCCAAATACAGCACTATTTTTTTTTCTTTCCCCCCAGTGTCTCAAGTCAAATAGTATCCCACTGTACTGGTTTGGATATTTTCATGACAGATTTATGGAAACATATTGCCACGGTGAGATACATGCAGTATGCAAAAACCATTTCCTAATTCATATTTTTCTGTGCAATAAAGGGTAATATATAAAAATCTCTGTTATTAGTCTATCAAATGATGCAAGATCTGGATAGCCCATCCTGTGTGACTAGAAGAGGGGAGTTTAAATAAAGGAAGTGAAATTATCCTGAACGTATCCCCAGGCTCAGAGGGTTAAACAAGTGTGAGTTACTGAATTTACATGAACAGAGACTTAAGAAGATTTTTTTTACACTCCACCTTCACTTCTGATTTTTTGAACATCATATGGTAGACACTCCAGAGTTCAAATTCTTCAAACATGTTCAAATCTCAGCATGAGACGCAAAGCGAACACTCGATTACCATGCTCTGTCAGGAATAATGTGCCCACTTATTCTGCCTGTGTTATTTTTCGTACCTCCACACAGTGCAGTGGGCAGATTACCTTTGCTTTACCTGCTTTACTTTATGCAATTGAATATTTCATGCTGCACTATAAAGCGACCCAGTGCACAGCTTTATACATTGTAGGCAGCCACGCGTGCCTTTTTAAAATTCACATTCACCGAGCACACAATCAAAGAGCCATTCAGAGGGATCGAGAAGCATCTGCTTTCCTCTGGAGGCCAGAAAACTCTCCCATATGATATAAGCAGATTAGTTATGGAAATTTAGTGGGAGACGGATCGTATCGCGTGGCCCAGAGAGGCTGCCTGAGCAGTGCCTGCTTCATGTTCTGAATTGACTTGAATGAACTCAAATTTCAATGCACTTCATTTCATTGTTCTGACCGGGTTCCCATTATCAAGAGGATGAGACAAACGAGCATCTGTTGGAGCTGAAGCCTAAATGGATAACAGTCAGGTTCTGAAACTATTAGTCGACACCAAATTGGGGTTTCCTGATAAGGCTCGCACTGTGTTTTCAATATTCAAAAAAGGGATTTTGTTCATCTGGGGTTGTCAATCATAAAAGTTTAAAACTCCCTGACGATAACAGAGAGGTTAAAGCTGTTTTAACTCTTCTTATCTGCTCCTCCAGACAACTGGAGCTGCACTCTCCTGATGCCCGACACACCGTAGTGCTGCGCTGCCCGGACCAGCCATCTGCCCTGTCCTGGTTCTCTGCCATGCACTCTGCCACATCAGCGCTGGCTCAGGTCTGTCTCTAATCTCGTTGATTATGCAGGTAGCTCCCATCATCACCGTACATTTAGACAGTTCAGCGTGTTCATTGTTGTGCATCCTGAAGCGTCATCCACCCTGAAACACTGTCATGTGTCCCGCAGCGGGTGATGGCCGAGGTCATCCAGAACACGTCCAGGACAGGAGTCGCTGGCAGCAAAGAGATCCGACACCTGGGCTGGCTGGCAGGGAAGGTAGGAGTGTGTTTCACTCATGTTGCGGGGACATAAATCTGTTTACACTCAGGGGACCTTTTGGAACAAATGGCAAGTTCAGCCCTTGTAATTAATTCAGTTTTAGGATGAAGACCTGGTTTAAGGTTAACTGAAGGTTAAGGAAAGAGTTAGGTCCTCTGAAATGATGGAAACATAACTTTCTGTGTGTGTTTGTGTGTCTGTATAAAACTCATGCTGGTAGATTTCCCACATTTTGAACGGGATGCCTTCTCTGTGAGCAGTGAAACATGCACATGGTATCTTCTTGTGTTTTTATTACAATATAGGTTAAATTAAGACTTTTTTTTAGTGGTGTTTCATTGGTTGATTGTTTTGAGGTGAATCCTTCAAAAGTTGTTTTATCCATCCATCCATTATCTTTATACCGCTTAATCCTCACTAGGTTCGCGGGGGGGCTGGAGCCTAAAGTTATTTTATTGTTTTTTTAAATTTTACTTTAGTTGCGAGATGTGGCTCGGTGGTTAGCATCGTCATCTCGCAGCTAGAAGGTCGCTGGTTTGCATCTCGGTGAGGACACCTGGGATCTTTCTGTGTGGAGTTTGCATGTTCTCCCCGTGCAGCGTGGGTTCTCTCCGGGTTCTCCAGCTTCCTTCCACAAGGTCCAAAAACATGTAGAGGTTAATTGGTGATTCTAAATTGTCCGTAGGTGTGAATGTGAGTGTGCTTGGTTGTCTGTCTCTAAGTGCAGGCCTGTGATAGACTGGTGACCTGTCCAGGGTGTCCCCTGCCTTTGCCCTGAGTCAGCTGGGATAGTTGTTAGATGGTTGCTATGCTGAGCCCTTTTCAGACATACACAACATCGCTGCTTCATCGATCTGTTCGCAATCACACTGCACAATATGCATTAATTAATAAAAGACTAAATCTGCACTGATCAATAAATGATCAAACTGTCCAGATAACCAGTAGCCTAGTTTATTTATGAGTTCCCGAAAGCCGTGAATGTGTGAGAATAATAACAGTAAAATAGAATAAAATATCGATTTAACGATCCTGTCTCCATGCCGAGGATATTTTATAATTCAAAGTAAATAATGAAGCTACAGCTGTTGTTCTACTGGTGCAAATATGCTCAACTTTATCTGCTGCTGTCTGATGCTGCAGATATTCAATAAACTCAGAAGAAACAATCCTACAAACAGCTCCTGTCAATATTTTTTATTTCTTTTGAGTCTTCTTAATCTGACCTGTTCTGTCTTTAGCCGGCAAAGTTTTATTTTTTTGGACCTTTCAGTGTGTAATTAATGTGAAATTATGGAAGAAAATGAAGGAGAAAGGCATTTAAACTGTATGTTTGTTGCTCTATTGGTGGTGATTGTGGAAAAAGCCTCTCGAAATCACTTAACACAACCTAATTATGTTGTTTGTTCCAATCCGCTAATGTGACACCACACAGTTCAGACTTGTGTGATACTGAGAGTGATGCTTGAATGTCATCAGGTCTGACTTTGTATGATTTGAATCACATTCTTCATGGAAAAGTGACCAGGCTGCTCATTCAGACGTGAAGCCGGCATCTTCAGATTATCAGAAAGGAGTTAACGTCTGCGAGGGGCTTTAAAGTCCTCCTGAGATGCAGCCTGTGTTGTTTGTGTGCATACGTTGGTGTATTTTTAAATTGATGAATTGATGGTACAGTGCGTCGTCACAACACTTCAAAACTGTCATACTTGAAGGCGGCATAAAGAGCCAGCTGTCATCGAGCAGGGGGGAAATGTAATAAACAGTTATTAAATTCATCAAATTCATGGCAGGGCGGCCCTCGACAGAACCAGCCGTATTGTCAGAAGAGAACTTGAGAGAACTGTTCTAATCCTGCTACTTTTTCACCTTTGCACTTGTTGCATAAACAGGAATCTGTCAGACGGCGACAGAAATGGCATATTTGTTATTTTGCTCATCTACTGCATAAACACAAATCTTTGAAATTTGCACACAGCGAAGCTTCACTTTGCTTTTCAAACAGCCTTGCACCTGTGCACACACACACATCCATACCTGCCTGATTTAGTCCTGGAGAATTTGCCAGTATTTGATCCTTCAAATGCAGTACAATACTGTTACTTAGCAACATATTCTCATTATGGTAAAAAGATGACCCTTGACCCTCTAAATCCCACAGTGTGATTGGCTGAGGCAGAACTTCAAAGAGCAGCTTTGGATTCCACGGCTGGGCTGCAGATAAGCTCTCATAATGAGAATAGTTATGGAGCATTGTAAAATGAAATACCAGGGCTGTGCATGTGTGAATAAAAGTGTACCTGCATCTTTACGGCAGCCACATTTATTTTTAGCCAATTCCCACCTGGGTGCACAATAGTGAATGTATACATTAAACACACACAGTGCTCCTCTCTGTGGCACCAGCACTGTGGCTGACTTACCTTATGGCTTATCAGGTGCCTCCACAAAAAAACTGAGGATTTCAGGAACACAAGTGGGAATAAGAACTTTAAATCGCACAGCACAAAGTGATCAAACTGAGCGACCATGCAGGACGAAGTGTTTTGTTTATTTACTGAAATTCTGTTGTAGTTTAATTCAAATGAATCTACTGTTTTGTGCAGCTGGTCAGATTGAGTAACACACTTATACCACCTCTGCTCGGCTGTTTGGGCCGACAGCGGCGGCTTTTGTTGTGCTGATAATCCTCCTGATTAGTGCTTCCATTTTAATGAGAATGTAAGAAAATAAGTGAATGAAACGAGTTGAGAGGAGAAGAAAAAAGAGCGATGGAATACTTTAGGCTCTGGCAATTTGTGCACTTCAAAAACAAGTGCAATAATCTATTAAGAAAATAACTGACATTTGCAGCCAGAATTGTTTTGTGTCTTTCTTTCTTTCTTTTTTTTTTTTTTTTGTTCATTTGAATAACACAGTCTTCCATTACCCTGGAGAAGATAAGTGCGTGGAGCGAATGGATGGATGGGAACAGCTGTCCCTGTGTCATTGTTCATCTGTTTGTGCTGCAGACGGAGAGCGAGAAGCAGAGCTGGAAGCCGGCGCTGGTGGTGGTGACGGAGAAGGACCTGTTGCTGTACGACAGTTTACCGCGAGGCAGAGAGGCCTGGCAGAGCCCCACACACACTTATCCGCTGCTGGCAACACGGTATGAAACTACACAAACGCCAAAGCCACAACATTAAAACCACCTGCCTAAAAATGCGTAGGTCCTCCTCGTGTTGCAGCTGTAGCTGCAGAGGATATTTTTGGGGTGAGGTTTTTTGTATGCCAGGCCTGTTTCGGAGCATCTCAGAGAGTTTGGAGACAATACTTAAGGCTCTTGGTCATGTTCCTCAAGCCATCCCGCAGTTTTTGCCGCATTGTTCTGCTTGTGAAGGCTGCCTTAGTGTGTAACAATACTTGAGTGCCTGGTCTGAGTCAAAGTAACATCATGAATACCAGGTCTCAAGGTTTTCCAGCAGAGTTTTAACAAGATAATGTTATTCTTGTCATTATTGTTGTGGCTGATCAGTGTATGTGCTCTATTCAATATGGAAGATATTTCATGGCGATTAATACTGTGTTATCACAACACTAAATCTAATATCAATAATAGATATTTACCACTGATATTACTAGCATAGGTACAGTGCAGCAGAAGTGTACCAGAAAGACACTGATCCCTTTGTTTCTGCAAGGAAGGAAATAGAATTTTTGCAGTTCACATAATTTGATTGAAATTCCTTTTTTTTTTTAATGCTTGAACATCAAATCATTATTAAAGACAATGAAAACAAATTAAATGGTCAGAGTCGGATTGATAAACAACAAAACTCATTAATCAAGTCACACTCAAGAAAGTCTTCCACCTTCAGAGTTGTTGGAATTAAACTATTTGTTTTACCGAGCTAACAAAAGCTGTCAACAGCAGAACAACATCCTTTCATTTATAATTAACTCTCCTGGTTTCTACATTTGCAAAGAAACATTTCGAGGTTAGCCCGTTAAATTTGAAAATTTAGTTTTTCTGGGGTAATCGCACAGCCGATCAATATAGATAAAATAAAGACACAAGTTAAGCGGTTATAACATTTGTTCTGTGCTGATGTTGAATTAGTCAGTTGCACATGTTACAGGTGTCAGCTCTGTCTGGGATATACGAATACTGTCCTAGCTAAGCAGCTAGCTGGAGCTTTGTCCTTAACACCATGAGCTTTGGCTGGAGGCTATTAAACATCACAAAAGTCTTTGTCATAGTGCCCTTTACTAGCTAAACCCCCACAATGCTCTCTGCTTGCCAAGAAGTAACTGCCCATAGTCCAAGTGACGCCTCCTCTGGTCACTGCTGTATTAAGCAGTAAAAGGCTCCACCTAGTGGCACAATTAGGTACTACAACTGGTCTATATAAAGGAACAGCTTCGGTGTCGAAATGCTTTTTTTTTTCTTAATTCAGTGCAGAGCTATTCTGTTGTCAAGCATATACATTGGTTTGTTTTTATTAACTTTAATGTACTGGAAATTGTATCAGATTGGGACTCGATTTCTCCAGATGATAAATATAGCACTATAAATAGCACTGCAAATCTCATTATTAGCTATGATAAGATATCAATATATAATATGTGGGGGAAAAATGATGGTATGTACTATTAAAAAATACACTAAATGAGATTGTGTGTGTGTGCGTTTATTTAGTCTGGTCCACTCAGGTCCTGACCGGGGATCGCCTCATTCCGGCACCGAGCTCTTCTTCGCCACTCGGACCGGCACAAGACTCGGCATCGAGACCCACCTGTTCCGGGCGGAGACCACCAAGGATCTGTCCCTGTGGACCAGACAGATAGTCAACGGATGTCACGCATCAGCCGAGATGATCAAAGAGGTCTCTACGAGTGAGTCCTTGCGCACAACACATGAACATTCAGATTCAGCAGCACCTTTAGAATGGATGAAAAAACACAGAAGCACTGAGAGCTGAAGCTGTGGACGGAGCAGAGTGAAGCTGTTCAGGTCACTGTGCTGCATTCTGAGCTGCTTCCTCAGACGTGTTCAGACATGCTGCAGCAAGAACACGTCCAGAGAGATTGTAGAGGCTGCACTGGTAAGAACCGCCTGAGGTCTGAAAGCAGAATGTATACATGCACCGATACAGACTCCCACGGTCACTCCGACACAGATAGTTTGTGATATAATTTGACAGCCATATGGAAGATGTGGACAAAGCACTGGCTATTTATAGAAAGGAATGCTATTCTAGTGTGTGTTTGGCATTGGGTATTGGTTGTCCAGGGAATTCCAGCAGAATACCTCCCCCATCTCCCCCTGTTGGCCTCCCTCTCAAAGCAGAGAATGTCCTGGGAACTGCTCTTCTCCCCCGGGTCCACCGTCTTTTCTCCATACATAAAACCAAGTTGAATTTCACTTCTACTCAAATATGTATCCAGCAGCAAAATGATACACAACCTCACCACTGTGTCCTTGTTGTCAGTGTAGTTTCTGCATCACCAAACTCTCGTTAAAAGTTTCTTGAAACACGTCTGCACCCACTCATCCAGGTGTAAATGTTATGCTGCAATTAGCAAAGCAGGGCTTCATTCGCCTCTGCAGGGCTCGATTTAAATTTAAACACTCCGAGCTGTGTGATGTTAATCTGATTTTGTATGTCACGGTGGTTAACCGTGAAATGTGAGTGTTACAAGGACATCTTACTTAATCCCATGGCAAAACACTGTCTAGACTGATACAAGTTGCTCAATAGCAACATGCTGTAGCTGAAATGTAGCAGTGGAACCAGCAGAAAAAGTTAGAGACCCCACACAGCCTGGATTTTTCACCTCTCCTGGGTGATTATAGGACTTAACAAACCTCCTCCTTCTACAGTTAGCTGTGTGAAAAAGATGTTTATAATTGTTACTGGTGCGAGGAATTTGTCATCTCTCTCTGCTCTGTGGAAACACTGCCTGCAGTTCACTGGAAAATTCACCTGGTTTTTTGTAAAGTGACAGATGGTTTTTCATTTACACTGAGAAACAGCTTTTTTTTTCAGGCTTTGGGGTTTATTTTGGGCAAATCTTTGAATTAGACGTGTAGAAGAAAGGGATTTTGATGACATATCATGATTTTAAACTTAAGTTTGTTGCAGTTTTTTTCTGACAAAACCATATGTCACGCATGATTAGTTCACGCTGAAAATCCAAAGACTATTTTCTGTTGTAACAGTTTCTGGCTCTTACAATAAATGCTGTAATGTTGGCATTTAAAAAAGAAAAGAAAGAAAACATGCCTTTTAAACCTGCTGGTGGGTTTTAAGCTTCAGAAGGTAAAGTTCATTTTGCAAACTTGTTTGCAAATAACTTTTTATTTATACATTCAGCAAATGGGGAAACATTTACATTCATTTGAAGTTATATTTTTGAGCACCAGATGAATGTATGTCCAATATGTGTTCTTCTTTTGAGCTCTGTGTCTTTACTCCTGAGGGAAACTGCTGCTCTGATTTTTACTACCTCTGTCTGTTTTGTGCTGCTCAGCATGTAGCAGCACAATGAGTTTTTCTGCCTCTGGAAGGAACACTGAGATCAAAAACAGGGAATTAAAAAACAAACCGGTGGCCTTAAAGATGCTGAAATGATCCACAGAGCTGCTCTGAGGTCACTGAGTGACGCTGTTCAGAGGGAACGTCCCAACTTTTGCAGGTGTTTAGTCACAAATCCATTACAATGGTTCCAGTTATTTATACAGCTTGAAAAGACAGGCTGAAATCAAAGTGCTTTCCAGCAGAGAAGTAAGATTGGTGTTACAAGTTTTAAAGCAAGTTTAAATATTAAGGTTAAAATCCTGTAATATCATTTATTATGCAAATTTATAATAATAACTTGAATATTATAGTCAAGACCCAACAATATTGTACATTACACATTTACTTGAATATTGTAGGTATTAAGTTTTAGACTATTCAATAATATTTATCATACAAACTATCCTGCTTAACATGAATATTAAGGTAAAGAACTTGCATTATTGTATATCGTACCAAATTACGTCAATACTTGAAATACTAAGGTTATGACCCCACAAGCAAGTATCCACAGAGAACCCAACAAGTCCAGAATTCTCTTTGAATAAGCATGATGATGGTGCTTGATTAAATATCACAGATGCACTAAAGCGAAGATAATTGATCCTGATAAAGAAACTGATTTCTGTACCAAATGACAGCAAAGACATTTCATTTGTGTTTTTGAACCTCACAGTGATGCTGGAGGTCAAAGGATCATCAGCATCAGTAGGCTTCATCCTGTGGGAGCCACAAATATACAAGTTTCCAGAGCTGGTCCTCTAGTAGTTTATTCTGGACCAAAGTTGTGGACAAACAAACAAACAGATCCACATTGTCATTCACAGAGCCTGCCGCTGTACGCCTGAAAACATTAGTCATTGCAGCTTTCATTCTATAATTGTGATTTAGGATACAGGTCAGTGATAAGGGCCAACAGCATAAGAAAAGATGAATATGGTTTGAATGTTTATTGCGCACTATTGGATTTCTGTCTGAAATGGATCGTATAACTTCTCTGAAACGGACTGATGTTAGCAGTGAGCCTGAGCTTCTTGTTGTGGAAGTGGGAAAGTAATTTACTCTTCCCTGAGAAGGATCTCACGATGCATACAAAGTGCACTCAGTCAGTTTCGGCAGTCGACACTTGAGGAGTCATTACGTTGACCTTGTCAGCTTTTCATCTGTGTAACATTCTAAATCATTGTGATGGTTTATTCACTGTCAGAGCTTATGATAAAGATTTGTTCTGAAGATAGATTAACTCTCCATCACTCAGCAGCTCTGTGGGCCATTCTGAGGGGATTTTAAAGGGGAAAGTAATTTGTTCGGCTCTGAAATCAAATTTCACCGACGCTTGGCCTGCTGTCATTCCTGCTATTATTATGTCCAAGGTGACTTCAACTTTTCAGAGGTTATATTGATATTTTGAGCAATTAGCAGGAGAAGGAGCTGCGCGTCATTATGTATTCACGGCATCATGGTCTAACGGCACAGGTCTAACTGTCTGCTGGATGGTCTCACTTCACTGCATGACTTTTTTTTTTTTTACTGGAGTTCTAGCCAACTTTATAAAAGTCAATAATTAACTACCATTTTGGAAAGTAACCTTATTCACTTTGTTGCACAGATGAGAAGATTGATATCACTCTGCTGTGTTAAAACGGACTGAAACAGCAGGCCTCGCTCTGGCCAAGTTTACCATTATACCTCGTTTGTTATTAAGTAGAAAAGCCAAATTATAACATCCGCGAGTTGGTTGTGGTTTTGCACAGAGCTGTGCATTGAGACAGTCTTCTTGCAAAACAAACCTTGTGGTGTGACTGTTTTCTTAAACAATGTTTCCAAAGTAGGCTTATGTAGTTTTTTGCTACCACTTGCAGTGAGATTTTGAGGAAGGTGGCTATAATACTCATTATACTTACTCTTTTTTTTTTTTATAGTAATTTGGCCGTTTGACACCTAAAATAGTCCATGAGAAGAGATAGAGGTGCTTGTGAAGGGAAAAGTCCTATATAACAAAACCCTAAACGGATAACTAATAATAATCAGACAATATCTACAAACTACAGCAACTTATTGTTTAATAAAAATGAGTTTTCATTGTTACTGGCCTGATCAGGGAAGTCACATTCTGCACTTTGTTTTTATGGGAAGCACCGATGTTCAAAGTGATGTCACTGCTGCACGTTTTCTGCTGTGTGACTCTGAGATAAGTGAATCTCTGTAATGAAACAGCTGACATGACAGGAAAATATGTTAAATAGATTTTGTCCACAGCTCTCTCAGTTTGGAGATGCTTGTATGGATCCCGCTGCTGTCTGATGCTGCAGGTATCGAATAAAGTCAGAGGAAAAACTTCTGAACAGCTGGACGCAACAAACTCCTCCTATTGTTTTCTGACACTACATTTGAAATCATAGAGCAAAGTGAAGGAGGTAAAACTTGTGATTTTTTGGAAACGTCGGCTAATGATGTGTGACGTTTATGGACCAGTGTTGGTGCCGAAATGTGGGGGGGAGGAAAAAAAAAAACTCTGATGTTCAGTTTGTCTTGTGTGCAGAGGAAGGCTGTTTAACATATAGAACTGTTTTTCCCCTTCATGAAGGAGCGCTTTTGTGGCTTCCTCTTATTTGCTGTGAGATTTGTTTGGCCAGTATGAGAAACCTGTTCCAAGGTCGGGAACAAACTTCCAGATTCAAACAATTACTTTCTTACTGGTTTGAGATTAGTCCGTTTAAAGTCTGTAATCCCACATCTCCCTCTCCTCCAACTTCTTATTAACGTTGTTGTCGAAGTGGCAGCCGTAAAATTTGTTAAATTGTCTTGGAGGTCGATTGGGTCTGTTCTTAATGAACAGGTAAATGGCTTAATGACTTTAAGAAGCCGTTGTGTCTCAGCAGTTGTGGAAAATCAACCTGTTAACCTGCTGTGACGCTCGAGTCCTGTGAGGCGCAGTTTAAAAATATGAAGTACATTACCTGCTGCTAATAACTTCATGACAAATAGCAGTGAAAGTAAAACTTTTGTCCTGTAATAACCTTTTAGTGTTTCCACAGTTGGTGTCTGTCGCTGCCTCTGATTCATTCATTTACCCTCTCTGCCTCTCGGTGTTATCTGCCTTCCTGCCCTCCTCCTGTCTCTTCCACTCACCGTCAGGCATAAAGAAGAGCTTTTGTTGCGGCCTGAAAAGACTCTTTTTCTCTGCGAGCGCTTTCTGGTGGGAAACCCTGCTTTCCCTCTCAGGTAGAAGAGTAGAGTTTCAGCTGTGATATTCATTCCTGAGCACAACAAAGAGCTGCACTCTTTGCTCCATTTACAACTCCATTTCTGCCATTAGGGAGACATTTGTCCTGCCACATTGTTTATACATCATTAGAGTAATATTACACATTATGAGACTCATTTTTCATCACAATTGAGATGTCTGCGGGGTTAAAGCAGGATATTGTGTTGTATATTTGGCTGCGTGTGCCTCATTTTTCTATTTGATTTAAAGCGATCTTCGTATCAACGTGTTTTCTGAAGTTGTAATCAACACACCCCTGTTGTTTTCGTGGCTTCACAGGTGATAAGAGCAGAGACGTTATGTTCATAATGTACTGCTCTGCTCACTTGAAAACATTTTTTTGCGGGGCTGCTATTGAAAAAATAAAAGAAGAGTGGTGTCACGCTTCTCAGCTTCCCCAGGAAAGTTTTTTCCAGGAAAGGAGGCTCAGATTCAGGATTCTGTGGACCATCTTACAAGCTGTTTGCAAAGTTGTAGAAGGGTCATGGGAGTTTGTTCTCATGTGTTTTGTGGAGAGTTGTGTTCGCCGGGGAACACGTGGCCGGTACTTCTGGAGTCTGGTGCAACAGGAATTGTTAATTGTTGTACAGCCAAAGTAAGAGTTGTGTTTAAATTCTCGGCACAAAGTCGAGTCTGTCTGTGATATTCATGGACTCGATCTTGATGTGCAGCCGGGTTGAGGAAGGTTTCTGGCTTCAGAACCTCAGGGTCTCTGCTTTTTTTTTTGTTGACAATGTGGTTCTGATAGCTTCATCAGACCGTTAGCATTGTGTTGGTTTGCAGCTGAGTGTGAAGAGGCTGGGATAGGAGTCAGCACCTCCAAGTGTGAGGCCACGATTCCCTGCCAGAAACCAGCGGGGTTCTCCCGCTGGGTTTGGGGATGACGTGAAGGAATTTGAGTATCTCAGGATCTTGTTCATTAGCTGCAGGAAAATGGAGCGTGAGATGGACAGATTGGATCTCCCAGGAGGAACTGGAAGATGTCTGGAACAAGCTGCTTAATTAAGCAATTTGCTGCAGGTCAACTCTTTTTATGTTCACAGTCAGTGGTTGGACACTATAAGGCTTCGAACAAAAAGATAAATAACATACACCTTCAAGAAGATAATTGATAATTGAACTTCTTTTGCAAACTACATTGTCTTTACGTTTTTAGGAAGTGTAGTTGAGCCCCAAGTTATTCATACCTTTGACAGCTTTTGATTTAGAGTAAATTTGTAGTTCAACACTGAGTTTCTTCTGGCGGGAAATGGCATAATCAAGTGACACAAGAAAGTAAGACATTGCATTGGAATGTTAGAGATTCATTAGGGTCCGAGCACCCAAAAGGGTGCGAAGACCCTATTGGTACTGCTCGGATTATTATTATTATTCGTGCCAAAGACACGCGTTTTTGAGAAACTAAACATACTCGAAAACTCACCAAAATTGCCATGCACATCAGACCCGGTGAAAAATTTTATAATTTGGAAGAACAACACACACCTCAATAGAAAAACTGCTCCACAGCACCACCTTCTAAATTGTCAAAAGCACATTTGGCCTAGAGCTACGCAATTTTGTAGGCATATAGAGCAGGTCAGGATGAATAAAAAAGTCAGGCTGGGCCAAGTTGTAAAATGCAACACGGCTCAATGGTGACTCCTACAATATTTCAACAGATTCCCATTGGGGCTATGTTTGATTTACAACTACTACATTTGCTACACATATGTAACAACTTGTGACGCACCAAAAAGTCCATTAGCATGTTTCTGTAAACCCAACAGGAAATCCGCCATGTTGGAAAAACGGCGAGCATGGC